GACGAAAGTTTCTTTACTGTTCAAAAGCACGCTAAGCTCAGAAGAAAGACCAGCTCTAGCTGCACTCACCACACTGTCACCGTGGAATCGCGCGAAAGCACGTGAAGCTTGCTCTGATTAGGTCCAATACGGAAGAGCAAACGGCGCACGCTGGGCGCGGCACAAAGTAGGCAGCCACGAGGAGGACACCAGCTATGTACAGACAACAGTTCACAGACACATACTCCCTATTAGCGAGTACCACAGTCCGCAACAATCAATTAAGTGGGTCCTAGAAGGTTCAGATTGGATTGATTGATTACCGCTTTAAGCCTAGTAGTTACCTATAGGAGTTTAAGCCCTACCTAGATAGGTAAGTGGGTCTAGGAGAGTGACCGGATTGAATTGATTGTTGCGGAGTCTAGCGAGTACAGAGCCACTTATCCGGAGGCCGTGGCATCAGGAAGGCAGCCACCCAAGAGGATACCAGCTGTGTACAGACAGACAACTACTCCTAGTCAGCGATACAGAGGCACACGTGAAGTCTCCATAGAGGTCGCCATCTACTGCCAACTGCCCCTCTGTATCCGCCAAACCAGGAACATGTATCTGCAAACAGTGGCTTACACACAGCTGGTATCCTCATCGAACACGTTAAGGAATCATACTCGATCATCGTCACGGCCTGACTTAGCTTGCGAAGAAGGAACAAGACAGCACATCAACCCACCGCGTTCGCAGAAGGAAAGGGAAAGCGCGATGACTCTGAAATCGCACATCCACCGCACGCCTATCGAGGTCTACAAGGAAGCAAAGGCACGTCAAAGGGGGATAAGTAGCAGATGTACGGATTTCTCCAGGCCGGGCACTGATTCACATCTCAGTGCCATGGATGCAAACAAAGATGACGTGCACAGAGGACGCGGTGACTTTAGAAGCGGGTATAGAAGAGGGGAGAGTAGGATTTGTATCTCAGCATTAAGACGGAACTTCTAACTACTACAATAATCATATCCAACATACCACACACCACACCACACCCCACCAGCAATAGGACAATAACCAGGAAATCGCACACCCCACCCCATCTACACACCAAACCTGAAACTCAACAACGATAAGCAAGAATAAGTGAGAAGGTATGTAAATATCATACTTTCTGGATGCGGAGCAAAGTTATGCTACACCTGCCCCCTCCCTCCATCCCTTGTCTAAACTACCCAATCCGCCTAATCGTATACGCCTCAATCTTGATGCTTACAGTTTACAAGCTTACAGTTTACAAGCTTACAGCTTACACGTTTAACAAAAGGTGAATCTACACAACCCCCACCCCTCCCTCCCTCCCTCCTTCCTTCTCACCGCCTCTCCTCCCCTCCTGTCTCTACGAATCCGAATATGCATCTAAAACCCCACCGCAAGCATCAACCCATACCCCACGGTAATAATAACGACAAAAGTAATCAAACTAGCCGGAATACCTCGCGTCAAAAAGTGTTTAACCTGAAGGTAGCGTTGACCCGTTCGTGAGTCTTCCATCATTATCGCCGCTGTCATGTACGTTAGTATATCATCTTACACCCATTCAACTCCCCACCGCCACCCAGCCCAGCCAAACAGAAAGAAAGGAAAAAAAACTCACTCATATTAGGAAACCCACTAGTAGGCAACCCCATGGCCCCACTAGCCATAAGCACACTCCCCATAACCAGCAAATTCGGATGCGGCTCCCCCATCTGCAACCCCACCTGCCTCACTAGCGGCAGCACAATAAGCGCAGCAACGGTATGACTAATAAACGTGGCGACGACGAGAATCAACCCACAAAACACAACCAACACGCCGTACAAACTCATACCTTGGACGCCTGCGGTGATGCTCTCGGCAAGCGTGTGTAACAAACCAGACGAGTTTACTGATTTACCGAGCGAGAGCCCCCCCGCGGCGAGGATGATGATTGTCCAGAGGAAGTTGTTGAAATCTTCTTTTGTCAGGATGCCTGTGCCGAAGAAGGCGATGATGGGGATGATAGCCACAACGCCCATGTCACCAAACGTAGCTTCGAGTTGATGGCTCACGCACCACAGGGCGATTGTCGTCACCGTCACGATGCTGATAAACCACTGTGTGCCCGAGAACTTGTCTTTGAGCGGCCGGATGGGCACGATGGAGGTGCCGCGGCCGGGCTGGAAGGTGACGAGAAGTAGGACCCAGATTAGCAGGATGGAAATGATGCACACGGGGAGAGCGACGAAGAACCAGACTCCCCAGGAAGGTTCCGGGCCCATGTTTTGGAGCGCGATTAGGTTTTGCGGTGAGGCGATGGGGGAGGCGGCGCCGCCGATGTTTGAGCTGAGGGCTATGCCGAGGAGGAGGGCTTTGGTCATGTCCGAGTCTGCGGGGAGGTTGCGGAGGATGGGCTAGGGTTTATTAGAACTTCTTGCTCCTCATCTTTTTTTCTGAGGGAACATACCTGAATAATCGAATAACACAGCACAGGCGCCGCAACATTACTAATCCACATACTAGCAAACATGGCCACAAACATATTCACCAACAGCACAGTCCGCGGCTTTGTCCCCGCTTTACTCAGCACAAGCGTCGCCATCATCTTCGCGATGTTGTACTTTGACAAGGCTGCTGCAATGGTGAAGCCGCCGAGTAGCAGCATGATGACCGGTGTCCACATGGCGGAGAAGACATACGACGCTGCTGCTTTACTCTCCAGTCGACGGTGCGGTTCAACATCGCTCCTGACGACATTCAAGGTAACGGCTAGAAAAGGGACGAGCAGCGAAGTGACGAAGAGTGGGATAGCCTGGTCAGAAAAGTTAGCATAAACACCCCAGTTAGAAAGAGTGACGGTAAACCCACCTCAGTAGCCCACAACAAACTAACGAAAACAACCATAGCCAAACAATTCTGCTGCTCGGGCATCTCCATAATCGGCACCACGAGCAACACCACAAACACGGCAATACACGCCACCAAGATCCAAAACGTGCGACTGAGCAACCACTGCGGACACCGGTACCGGCCAATCGGCGTGTCCACCTCCTTCATATCGGACTCGACTTCGTCGCCTTGGCGCCGCACTTTGCCGCCCGTGGTATCGCGGCCCAGCAGCGTCTGCGTGATGCCAATGTTTGCGGCTTGCGCTTTTCGCTCTATACCAATCATCTCGCGCCAGACGGTGTTTCGCTCCCACACGACGTGTTCGCGGAGGTGTAGGCGTAATTCCCGTTTTGCCTCTACGATGTCGCCTTTTGTGCCAATCTGCGCGTATGCAGCTTCCATGCGCTCGAGGTTGCGGGTGAGTTCATCCATGGTCGATTGTTTAAACGGGTAAGCGGGGTAAACGTATTTATTCAGATACGTCTTTTTGAGCTTGCGGTCCATGATTTTGTCGTATTTCTTTAGCACTTTTTCGAACCCGGTTTTGTTGAGTTGGATAAAGGAGCGGAGTTCGCAGAGGAGCACGTAGACGGATACGGCGCGTTTCTTCAGGGAGACGCCCTCGTCGTAGAGGGCGGAAAAGGCCATGTCGTTGTAGTCTTCGAAGACGGTGCTGGCTTTGCGCCGCGATGAGGCGTGCGAGGCGGCCATGTCTTCTTCTGTGTGGCGGCGCCGCCGGTGTTGGCCATCGGGACTCTTCTTACGTAGTCGCGTTGTTTCGTCTAGGTCCTCGTCGGATTCTTCGTCGTCGTCGCCGTGGTCGGTGGAGCGTCCGCTGGCGCCGCTGAGGGCTCGCGGTCGGTTGAATCCTATGGCTTTGAATATGCTTCCGCTGCGCATCTTCCTCCCTGGTGGCGCATTCTCATTTTCTTCGTTGTAGTCCTCCTGGTGCTCCTCAAATAACTCCTCGTCTTTTAACAGCGCATCCATTTCCCCGTAGATTTCATTCTCCTTGAGGGCGTAAAAGGAAGTAACGCGTTCGAGCTCGGCGTCGAGCGTGTTGGTAAAGACCTTGTCAGGGTCGTCGGCGTCTCCATTCAGGAGTGGTGATGACTCCGCGTCTCCATTTGCCTTCTTCTGGTGGAGCTGGGTCTCGAGGCTGTATATTCTGTAGAAATCACATGTCAGCGGGTGTCTACACGGAAAATATATACATACTGCTTCTTAAGGTTGCTGTATGCTATGTAATGGTTACTCCAGTCCGGTACCGCATTGAACTGCAGACTATGTGAGAACTTCATCTCGTCGGCCTCGCGCAGCTGCTCGAGCTTCTCGCGCCGCTTCTGTTCTCTTTTTGTTTCTCGCGCTGGGGTTTGTCTATCTGTAGACTGTCTAATTTCCTGAAGCTCAACGGCTTGGTCGGGCGCAACGTCACGGAATGGAGTGAAGACGTCCAGGATGGGCGGCGGGTTTTGAGTGTCGACTCACTCAACGGCGACAGCACGCTATGACGGAGGAGCTAGGGCACGTATTCGTAGGGCGGTCAGGTGGCAGGTGGCGGCAGAATAGGCGAGGCGGCATAGATCCAGATCAAGTCTCAGCATGTGCGATTAGCGCGGGATGCGGGATGCTTCGTGGGCTGTGGGACCTCGTGCTTTTGCCCGGAGTAGTATGTGGATGCGCCCGAGTCTAAGACGTGGCCAAGCAGCCTTGCCTCGACCACCGCATGGTATATTCATTGGCCCTCCTTACATCCCCTTCACCACCACACTCAACCCACATCCCGACCCGTCGTCTTGTGCCCTCATCACGCGTCTGTATCCATCCCGCCTCCATCCCGCCTACTTGGTTGTGGCTTGGCGGAGCATTTCACCTCTCCGTCTCTGCAGACGCGATGGCCCGCCCTGGTCGCGGCTAGCTATCACCTGCGCCGCCATCCTTGCCAAAACACCTCGACCTGCATCACCGTCGCAGCCTGACCAATCGTCAATTAGAACATGAGAGCCTCATTGTTGATCAATCACATTACATATATATTGCATTTAGTCAAAGATTCGGGTAGAAGTTGGTTGAATTTTCATGTCCCACTATATACACATCTACGTCATACCAACAGATACGTCATTGTTTAAACTGCGAAATATTAGCAATTGCACTTTTAGCGACATCAAGTAAACTTACACCTCAGATCCCAGCCAATCTTGGGTCCCAGCTTGGGCAGCTCCTCAGCCACGCTCTGTACGTCCTTGTCTCCACGACCAGAGACACAAATAACAATATCCTGGTCTTTGTCCATTGTCTTGGCCAGCTCAATGGCACCAAAGACGGCGTGCGAAGTCTCAAGCGCGGGAATAATACCCTCAAGTTGAGACATGAGACGGAAGCCAATAAAAGCCTCGGCATCAGTGCACGCAATAAATTTGGCGCGGTCGCTGTCCTTCCAGCTGGACAGCTCAGGTCCAACACCGGGGTAGTCGAGCCCTGCAGAAACAGAGTGAGTCTCGTTAATCTGTCCGTGCTTGTTCTGGAGGACATAGGTGCGTACACCGTGGAGCACACCCTTGGTTCCCGCGGAGAGTGTTGCACTGTGGCGGTCCGTGTCAATGCCGTCTCCGCCCGCTTCAATGCCGAGAAGCTTAACAGACGGGTCCTTGGAGAAGGGATAGAACATGCCCACGGCATTGCTGCCACCACCAACGCAAGCAACCACTGCGTCGGGAAGCTTGCCACGCTTCTCTTGCATCTGCTGCTTGGTCTCGTTTCCAATGATGGACTGGAAGGTGCGGACAATGGTTGGGAAGGGGTGGGGGCCGATGGCTGATCCAATAATGTAATGAGTCGTGTCGAGGTGGACGACCCAAGAGCGCATGGCTTCGTTGACTGCATCACGCAGCGTCTTGGCTCCAGCCTCGACAGCCACCACCTGCGCACCAAGCAACTTGATGCGGAAGACATTCAGAGCCTGACGCCTGACATCCTCAGCGCCCATGTAAATGGTGCACTTCATGTTGAACTTGGCGCAAACGGTAGCCGTCGCGACACCGTGCTGGCCAGCTCCGGTTTCGGCGATAATTTCAGTCTTCCCAAGTCTTCGAGCCACAAGCACCTGTCCAAGCGCATTGTTGATCTTGTGACTTCCAGTGTGATTGAGGTCCTCTCGCTTCAACCAGATGTTGGCACCTCCAGCATGCTCGGTAAGACGCTCGGCAAGATGCAAATGCCCTGGTCGTCCCATCCAGTCGTAGTAGGAACGGTACTCTTCCCAGAACTTGGGGTCTTCAATCGCTGCATTGAAGCCTTCCTCGAGCTCCGAAAGACAGTCCATTAGCGATTCAGGCACATATTGTCCTCCGAATTCGCCGAATCGGGCTGGGAACTTGTGCTTTTCGTCAAACCCGTTTTGCTCGTGTGTGTTGGAGTCATCCGTGTTCAACATCTCCAATTGATCAGCCAGACCAGGGCCGTCAGGTGTGTCGGCATCCGTAATGACCTTGTCGACGTGCACGCCAGTTGGCTCCTTGGCCTCGTTCAAAGCCTCAACAATGCCGACCTCGCGAGTCGTCTCCCGGGTGCTCTTTCCGCAAATTTCGTCGCAGTACTTTTCAACCGCCTTTGCGCCCTCACCAGGTGCAGCCTTGATGAGAGTGTTGATAATCTGGCTGCCAATAACGACACCCTCGGCAATCTTTCCTACGCTGACAAAGTGATCGCGTGTGCTGACACCGAAACCAACAGCGGCGGGGACATTGCCAGAGTATTTGTGAACGCGGTCGAGCAGCTGGGGAAGGGCGGCGTTCATGGTTCCTGTAGCGCCGGTGACGCCCATGCGGGATACGACGTAGATGAACGAGTCGGCAATCTTGCAAAGAACGCGCATGCGGTGCTCAGAAGTGGCGGGCGCAATCAATGGGACGTAGGAGAGTCTGAGGTTGTTAATACCGTGCCATCTGTGAATAATGACCCGACTCACCCGTAGCTGCGGCAGAAGTTCCTGAAGCGCAGAGCCTCCTCCGGGGGCAGGTCAACCATAATGAAGCCATTGGCACCTGCCTCCTTCGCATCCTGCAACATCTTCTCCTCGCCATAGCTCAGCAGAGGGTTGTAGTATCCCATAAGCAAGACAGGCGCCTTGAGGCCGCGCTTCCTCGCATCGCGGATCATTTGGAGGACATCGACAATGGTGACGCCGTTCTTGAGCGCTTGCTATACACACATGGGGTCAGATTCGCTTACAGGCAAAATGTGGCGAATGAGTCAACCTACAGTATTCGCAGTCTGGATGACTGGGCCGTCGGCAATGGGATCGGTAAAGGGCATTCCGAGTTCAATAATGTCTATTCATGTTAGCTGTTTGTTGTCAAGCGTCAATTACATCCTGTGCGTACCTGCGCCGCCCGCCTCCATGGCCATCATAATGTCGGGCGTCTCCTCTTTGGTAGGAAAACCCGCTGTCACATATGTGACAAGAGCAGACTATCCATCGCATTAGCTATAATTCTATCCGAAGACGATGCGACGACCTACCCTGCCCTCCTTCTTGCATTGCGCAAACGTCTTCTTAATCCCGTCCATGATGCTGAATAGACGACTTTTCGTTTCGAGTGTATGAAGAAAGAAAGAAGTTAGGGAACCCGTGTCCTTTTTGATTGCAAGACCCCAGTGAGTCACACGTTATTCCGGCCGTATAGTTGCGGAGAAATCGGGAGTTGCTATGAGTCTTGTGTTCACAATTTAGTGAGGCCGATCGGCGAGGGGTACGAAAGTAAGCCTGCACGGTTTGGGTAAGGGCGCCGAACATCATTCCTTCTAGAAGACCGGACAAAGCATCTTTTTTGATGTCGACGTCATCATTTGTGTGAGTCAGTAGCGGTGTTGTTTCTTCAACGAGTAGTACGGAGGGTTGTGTCATTGAACGGGTTGTTATATTACAGAGACGCGTACATAAGCCCATTTCAGTCAAAGACATCATGTTGCAGTACAATGCAGTCAATCAAAGTGTAACCGCGCGAGGCAGTCATCAGAGTATATTGTGTTCTGTTGTTGTTGTGCTGTCATGGCCACCTTATATATAGCCATAATCAGGGTCTATTTACATGACGTATCTCTGATGCTGGTGAGGGGAGAAGGTGCTCATGGAGGGGAGGGAGGAGCACCAGGACAACGCACGTGACATGCGCAATACCCTTGCCTCACAAACCGCAACACATCATGATGTGCCGCTTAATATGCGACCCGTTTTAGAGAAGACCTGTTCAGCTACGCGGCATTTCTCCAGAGGATATGGACTTGCTTACTACAAGGCACCTGAAAGTTGAATTGATGACATCCCATGTATTGTAGCTATTCTACGAATGTCCAACTCGGGGTCTAATTATCCTACAACACTCCTCCTTCCACTCTCATTCAAGCCGGCGAGAAATTATAATGCTCGCCAGGCGGCGAATGTATGCCGCAAGTCGGCACCAATTTTCCGAACCGGCTGAAATATACAGTCGATTGATATAACGCTTCGACCATCTCAGGAGCTCTGAGACGCAATGCTGATAGGCAAGGCGGGCAGAGTTCCTCTTCGCAAGCCAACGTGGGACATTGGATCTGGGTACTGTAGAGGATGTTGCCAGCGTCGCGGTTTATCCTCGCATCGATCAACTTGTCCATCCACGCGGGCACCTTCTTATCAAAGTAATGGTATCGAGGGTGGCGTGAGACACAAGCATATTGTCCGGGCATGGTGAATGTATGTTGGCGTTCGATGATTGCGAGAATGTGGTCGTTTGTTTCGCTCTTGAAACCGTGTATCAATCGGAGAAGGCGAGGATGTGCTATTGAACAGGCTAGACACGGGTCCCCGTTTTGCGAGTGTTGGCGCAAGCGCGCAATGCATCGGTCTGGGTCGGCAAATTCAGGACAGCAGGAGCTGAGCGAATCGATCTCATGCTTCGGGGTCGACGGGGTTGACGGGGTTTTCTTGATGGCGTCGTTGAAGTTGGTGTCGATCTCTTTGAGCATCTTTTTGTCTAAATGTTCTCTGGGTTCCATGTTGGGCGAGACTGTTGTAGCGGGGTGTGGTAAAGCTATTGTCGCGAGTTGTGATAAGACTGTTGCGGCGAGTAGTGATAAGACTTTATCTCGAGGTGTGGTAAAGCTGTTGTCTTGAGTTGTGATAAAGCTGTTATGGAGACGATGAGATTGAACTGAGAGAATTGTTTGTTTTGAGGAGGATCGCTAGCAGCAAGTGCCCAGTAATAGAGGCAACTGCATTCGTACTGTGGAAGGACCGTACGTCAACTTGGCAGCTTACAAGTCGTCGTGGGCAAGTGCGGCTAGCTAGTGGTGAGGCTTCGCACTTGCACGTTGCTCGTAGAGTCTGCTTGTATGGCATCCGAGAGGGTCGCGACTGTGGCTTCCATAGTCGGATTGAGTGTTGGCAATTCAAGTGACTCGTTCGGGTACGTCTCAACTGTGTCCATGCGACCTTTTTCTCCATTACATGCTTCGTAGGTGTACTAATAACCACATATCGATGTGTTACCGATCATCATATTCTCCCAATTACACAAGATCTTGAAACATCCCTCATTCCCAGCCAGATACTCTCAATAAAGCATCAGATATAAGCTGACTCACAATGCCTTCGATGTCGATCCGGCTAAGGCGATATGTCGACGTCGACGTCTCTCAGGACCAGCCTGTTGAAGTTACGACAAATCTGTTGACGATGGAGAAACCCTGGACCAACACGATAGTGTCTTGTCGTACTCTTCGTATTACCAACAAGTCGGGGCCATGTTTCGTTGTCGGCAGGTTAGTTATCGCCGGCTAACCGCCGTTAGGTATAGGTCTAGAGTCCGTAGCCTGCACGCAATGTGCCCCATTCCGTATCGAAGTACCTCCCGAAGCCACGTATCTCGCACATTCGATTAAAACACTTCTGACAAAGTTGTTGTTTGAACCTTGCCCTTTCACACCGCCCGTCTTTTCTCGGATCCTTCTCCCAGCTGGGGTCAGGCTTCCCTCGCGCATCCAATGGGCCCAACTTCCAATTCGTATCGACCGGTCTTCTCAATCGTGGGTCTTCGAATGCGCACGGGAAACCGAGTCGGTCACCGTCAAACTGCTCAAGCCATGGGCATTCCTGATCCTGTGCTTTGCTAAAACATCGCGCGCAGAGCTGGCCACGATATCGCACTGTTCCACATGCCCGCGAATCTCTTGGATTAAAGACGATGCGCCAGGATTGAGAACGGTACTCCGGATCTTTGCAGGCGCATAAAAACGACCAACCTTTCCTGACACGCTCAGTGTGCTCTCGTTCGAGTTGCCGCATGTACTCGTGGATGAGACGCTTCAGCGACCGATTATCGGATAGCTTGTCGGCTTGTTTGAAAAGCGCATCAATGCTCAGATTCCTGCACCACGAACAGATCTCTGGGCCGTGTTCTTGTCCCTCGGGACGTGAGTCACAAGCAGGACCAAAGGCGCAGTGAGGCTTTGGAGGGGGTGCCAGCATGGCAATTAAGTCGTGCATGAGGAGAGCTTCTCATGTTAGCAGAATTGTTTACTTGGGAGCAGTCACTTACAGGGTCGGTCCAGGTTTATTCGGATTCAGCGTCAACCCAGTAGCACGTTGTAACCCTCCACGTCATCATCCGACCCTTCACTACTCTCCTCCGAACCTTCCAACCTAGTCACTACCCGGTCTGCTTCGTCATGGCAAAGCCCAGCCGGCGTAAAGTGCTGCACGACTGAAATCTTCCTCAGGCGTTTCCTCCAACACTTTGAGCAAGCGGTACCCTTCCTGCGGACAGAAGGGCAATCCAGTCGGGTACCACGAAGGTTCAAATCAAGTAGCCTCCACCGACAAAGCTGGTAGTCTGGATCTTCGAAGGCGCAGAGGTAACGGCCGCGGGCTTCGATGTTTCTCTTCAACACGTGCTTTCGTGCAGTCTCTTCGTTGATAAGTAGTAGAGCAGCAGGGTTGGAATTTGCCCAGATACGAAGTTGTTGTGGGTCGTGTCGTTGCAAACAGTCGGAGCAGACTCTATGGGGAACGTAGACCTTCTTGCCGATGCCGAGACAGTGAGTTCCAGAAACACACTCGACGATCGGTGGAGGCTTAAACGGCGACTCGGACGCTGAAGACATGGAATGGTGGCCGAGAGCACAGTGTGGACTCCCACGAGTTAGGTTAGGGTTAGCTTAACGTCCTTGCATCTCGGCTTATGTGACGTGCTATTTCCGGTACGGGATGCTATGACGTCGAAGTGTATTTTCTGGTGGGCTGTGAGACATGATGGGAAGACGCGTGGAAGACGTGTGGCAAGAAGACTGGTGTGTGGTTTTGGTACAACGAAAAAAGTATGGGGACGAAAACGGCTTCGCCGTGTCCGGGACAAGACGCAGCCAATGCCATGGATAGCAGGCTTGGAGACCAGGGAAGCTATGATCACTTCCATGGAAGCTTTTTGTGGCGTAGAATGTCTCCGACATGTTGGTTCATGACTTGGTTAAGCGGTGAAGACACCTGATCAGCTCGCTTGGCGAACATCACCCACGAGGCCGCGCTTATTGGGTACCATCGTGACGAAATGCTCATGTATCAGATGTTATTGTGGACTGCGCTATGACCAGTTATAGGCGTTAGGCCCGAGAGAATGGTGACCATAGCGCCGGTTGTCTCCCAGATTTATGTCGGATCGCGGAGTCGCAAATCACTCGTCGGAAACGAAATGACAGCCGTCTAATTCGTCAGCGCTCGAGTGGAAGCGGTGGCGTTGTGAGAACTCTCCCTGTCTGCTGGACATGAAACTCGTCACGAATCGATGATGCACTGATAAAGTTTCGCTTCCAGCATTCCAAACGTTGTTGGAGATCATCGTGCACGGCCTAGAGGCCCGTGCTGATGAGGCCCGATACCCTGACTCGTTCCGGCTCATCCGCCTAAACAATGCCACAAGCTGTCTTCTTTGACTCTTGCCAACGTTGTGCGACCGCATCCATATTGTTCATTCGACCGGCTGACATGACTCGAGCGGACAGAGAGGGTCTTTGTGGCGCCATGGGACGATCATCCACGTCCAAAAAATGACATGTCTTTGCCGGTAACTCCGACATGCGCATAGATCCGCCCCACGATATGTTAAGTCTCTTTGATACAAGGTCTCAAATGCCGTCTTCACAAGCCTCTCGGCCGCTGTGGCGTGGGATAACGTATAATAACGTTCGAACTTGTTTATGCCTGATTCTGCCGATGAATTATGAGGCTGTCATGGAACAGACTCAGTCGCCTCAACGTGGGGTCGCATCTATGTAAAAAGATTCATTTTAACGCCACTATGCACCGTACCACTCGACGCTGAGTGCGAACAGAATGACTCCAATAATTCGATTTGTGCATTAGGCACTGTTCGTATCCGCTACTGTACATGCTCAGCTTCCATTGGACTCGGTGACCTTTTCCAAAATCACTTTCCGCAACCCTGTACTGGGGAGGGCCTGTAAATAGTCCAAACTATAGCAAAGGACACATCACCTGAGCGACTCTTTGTTGCAAGGGGTCGCCGTGGATAAGCGCTTCGCACATGACCAAAGCTGTCTATGTGTTGCATGTACCTGTCGGATGCATGCACACGTGTTGCAGAGAGCTATCATAGATGGAATCCGCTCCAGGACTAGGTGCTGGTAAAAAACCGATGTCCCGTAGCTACGGAGAAGGCCGCCCGCGGGGTTATCTGTCGGCGGCGATGTCGATCGCACAAGGAGGTTCAGTTGGGGTAGGTATATGTGACCTGTAGAACTCATTCCGGACAGGGGTGAAGAAGATTGTGGCAAACATCTCGCACATCAATACTCGGTACCATGTGGGAGCTCCCGGGCCTCCACAGGTTACAGATGTCGTACACTCGGCATCGATATGCTGCTGTCCGGCTTGTGCGTAGAGATTAGCCTTGCTGTGTCGCGGTAAGTCTAGATTTGGCGAGCCTCATGTCGCAGTAACTACAGGTAGGCCCTGTGACCTGGCATGGCCACCTCAGGAATGGGCATTGCGCAGTGGGCACTGCAGTGGTGGCGGTGGACCGGATAGATTCAACGCTGTGATTAGTTATTCAAAAAAAGACTTAGCCGAGCACAGGCCATCGCCCATCCCTGGCTAAACCTTTCTAGCGTGCCGCACTCGCACTACGTTCAAGCCACAAGCGGACATTTCACGTTGGGCGCTCTAGGACACACTGCCTTCATTTTGCTAGATTGACGCCAGTCCGAGCGAGCCTCGTGGCTTCAGCTTGCTTTTTGCGACCCTGTTTCCAAGGATACCAACCTAGGAAAAAAGCCACGGTCGTCAAACCCCCCAAACCGCCTGCAACTGATCCCCAAAGTACAGCATGGAAGGCGAAGTTACGGTGAAGGATGCAGGAAAAGCACAGGTAGTCACAGATCCGGAAAGCGACAAGGCCGATACTGGAGAGCCGCAGCGGACAATTGCCCTCGACGACGGTTACGGAGATGCCCTTTTGTTGCTAGGAACGGGTACAGGTACCCAGCCAGTCCCGGTATCGAAGACGGTCATGATTCTTGCTAGCCCGGTCTGGAAAACGACACTGGAAGGAAAACAAGGCTACCGAGATTCCATTCCCACATGATGACGTAGGCGCGATGCTTACTGTCCTTCGCATTGCTCATTTACGCTTTTATGAATTGCTAAAGAAGAACGATCTGACTATAGATGCTCTTCTTGCACTTGCAGTCGTGTGTGATAAGTACGACGTCGTGCCAATTGCACGACCATTTACAAAGCTCGCTCAGTGTCACGGTCCTGATACTATTTCCGCAGGCAGATGTGACCCAGCCTAGTTCTTTGTAGCCTAGACATTTGAATACAGAGAAAGCTTCATAGAGCTTGCTGCGTTCATAGTCAAAAGGACTGGTCTAGACGAGAATGGAAACCTGGCCACAGATTATGACCCAGGGTTTCCCAGTGATATGCCTCCAGGGCTAACTGGTAAGCACTATCGTCGACTTGTCTCACCGAAAGCTAATATCTCCCAGAAATTATGGCAGATTTCGAAGAACGATACTTTCCTTTGTACTCAACATAATCTACGAGGTCCTTGATAGAATATGAAGGGAAGTTAAAGGGTCGCGCGACACCAAGTGTGGCGCTATGGTCTTGGGGTCATACATTAGCTTCCCTCTAGCAAAAGACCTCTACCCGGTGCGTCGTGCTGCAGCAGAAACCTCGCTCAGCATTCAGGAACTTTATAAATTAGCCAAGGAGATGGAGATCTCCATAAGCGGACCTACCTCCAAACACAGCAACAGTGTCTACGTGCATCGTTGTTGTTTCAAGGAGTATGATTTCCTGTTGCGATTGAAGAAGGTTTAATAAATGAATTCCCGGCAGTACTGGATTCGCACATGCGACACATGAGCGATCAAGCAAAGAATTAAGTTCATGTCAATGGCTGATTAGAAATGCATTCAACAAGGTGTCTATTGAAGGTAAATATATACGGTCGTTCAGCGCCCAAGTCACGTGTCGGGTCGGCGTGTCTCCGCACCCTCACCACTCGATATGTTTGTTTCTTTTACGTCATGCGCAATTACCTTTGATCTGTTCTACATCTATTTTACTTTACGATCGTTTGCATGAAATGAGATTTCGCGAAACGTGGCCTTTGGAGACTTTTATTTGGTCCAGCGAGGCTGTTCGCGTTCTAATGCATCGTAACATCATTCCACTGGAGCACGACTGGACCACTGGCAAAAACCCCCCTGTGTTCCCAATAAAGCCTGCCAAACTTCAATCCATCCACTTCTAGGCTTTGCCAAGATATGATCTTATCTAGTTCAGGCGAAGGTAACGAACGACCCGGGTAACTGATGGCGCCATTCTCGTTCTTTTCAGAGTCTAAATGAGGGGGAAGTGGAGCGCAAAAATCACGTAAGCACATAGCGAGTCATCTGGGTGGGGTCTATAGGGCATAGTATGCCAAGAAGAAGACCGTGTCAGTACCAAGTGCGTATACCTGGGCCCATGATGCCTGATGAGCTACAAACCCCCAGTCTGTACACCATGTCCTACAGCCGAATCTGCTGTATCACTGCAGATATCGGTAATGTCTACTACGAGCCTGAAAGTCTCTACATCTCGATTTGGTGAGGGCGTCAACATGACTTGTAAACTGGTCTGTGGAAACTAGACTATCAAATCCGACGCATTATAACCAAGGTATCTTTACTATTACAATGACTACTTACTCGCTTTGTGAAACAAACCCTGGTGCCAAGTCTTGTTCTGGCCTTTTCCACCTACCCTCTGGTACATACGTAAGTCTGGACTCAGGTCAAGCTTACTCGATCAATATCGAAAGCTTCGTAATTCACTTCTGACGCGTACGCTTCGAGTACTTGGACAGCGGAGTGACACGTCGCTCAATCTTGGTTGAACTGGGATCATCCTCCGTTTGGGTTTTTTTTTGGAGAAAATGCCTCATGTCGTGCAAGTCATGTACGCGACTAGCAGGTGGAGCTGGAACAGAGTGCCAAACATACTGTTCCTTCAGGTTGTCTTGTAAGTACTAGATTGTGTTGTAGATAAAGTTTGCTTATGGTTTACTAACACTACTTCTAGTTCTTTACGATACGCCGCGAAATATGGTCAGGCATCTTCGCTTATACTAGTCACGCGCGTGGAAGAAAAACACCTGTTCCCCTACAGAACCCCAGACTCCTCACAGGCGCAGGGGCTCATGGTTAGGGTAGGGCTGGCAATACTTTCGGAATACCAACCGAGCCGGAGCAGCATGGGCGTTTGCTCAAACCTGGTTTTAACAATTTCCCCACTCTGCGTCCCACATACGACTCGCTACCACGTTGCGGCCCCACTATGATGTTACCAGGAAGAACGGAACCAGGGTATAAAAGGACGCTCGAATGAAGAGGATTTTCTTTTGTGTCTCAACGCCCTTTTTTGTCTTAGGGTGCAGTGAAAGCTACACGTAGTGTCTATACTATATACCTTCAACGAGCTTTCCGTCACAATGATTCTGACACGGAAGCCATAAACCAAATAACTCCCAATCCCACAGTCAACTCATCGACATATTCCAAAGCTGCCACAATGCAGCTACTAAGTAGACTCAAGCAAAGAACCCCGGAATCAACGCTGCAGTCTAGAAGCTGCCGAGACCTCTCGCCGTGCATACAGTAACTATCGGCCCGTAATCAATATGCCGGTCAAGATTACCATGACATGCAACTTTCACACCTCCTCCCCTTCCCACCGCCTTTTCTTGCAAGTCATCAGAGCCGAGAGTGTGGGTACATTGTTGAGTTCGGTGTCATACGTGATTGGACCACCCAGGCCTTTGGAGCATATGTACCGTAACACTGGCGACTGGTTCTACAAATCGGCTCGCTCGAATCCTTCCGACTTTTTCGGAAAACCGCACTAATATCTCCGTCGTCGTCTCCGTCATGCTGTGCTTTGCTTTTCCGGTAGTCCGTGATGTGGGGCCTGTTTTCGGGGCTAACTATGGAAGGGATGAGCGAGGATGAGATGACGATTAAGAGTCTGTCGTCTTTACTAGCGCATGTATAAGATAGTTGGAACATGTTATGAGACCCCTTCAAGCCCCTAAGGAATATATACTTACCGTCATGCTAGGCGAAGCTGTACTAGGTATCCTTGTAGTCTTCAACACTAACACTGTCTAAGTGCGGTGAGCTAGAATAAGCAGCGCTGTATGCAGCTTTACGGTTGTCCCATCTGATTCTCCATTTTCCTTACTCGGGTTTGTTTGACATACCCTTTGCTTTGTTGTGGCTTCTAGAAGGCCTAGATGAGTGTGCGATTGTAAAGTTACCACACCATCACAGTCGTCTATCTTCATCTAGGCTCGCGGGCTCTGCGTGTCTCACGACCTGTATCAACTGCCCATCCACTCTCCACATCACCATATCCTCTCAAGACCCTCCTTCCTACCTCCTCTTCCTCAACGACGCCGTCTCCTCCACAGTCCCAAAGCCGCGCTTCACCCCCTCTCCCTCTCCGAGCAATTCCCCATACCGAACTTCCAAACTCTTCAACTCATCTGATATGTCTTCTACCGTTGTGGCGCCTTCTTCCAGTACCCGCCTGTTCATCTCTGTATTTCCTCTTGTTGCAAGCATGATTTGAAGGAATCCGCCGTCTGCGGCGGGTACGCCGTTTTGTAGAAGAGACCATGTTGCCATGGCGGCAAAGACTATAGCGGCGGCGAAACAGAGGGTGTATGGGACGATAAGGTTGAGTGGGTCGGAGAAGCGGTATAAGCGACGATAACGTACTAGTGTGACGGGAATATTGTCCCACCAAGTACCTAGTGAGATGGCAGAGATCGTAACGTTGGCGAGGATTTGGTTAAGCATTACCTCAGTAAGGTCCAGGTCAGCTCGAGGGTCATATGTTTTTTTCTGAGCATCGAAGCGAGAAGTGTCAAAAGCTGTACCTCGCAGCTTATCTGATTGTAGATTAGTCTCTCTGGTCCTATTGAAGGCATTTATATAGGACTCACTGCTATTGGCTGGGCTAGGACTATTGTATAGCGACTCCCCACAGTCCCAAAATGTAGAGTTATCGGTTGACTTGATGGACTGTGCACATTCATCTGCGAGACCGATATGGTGATACCTCGAAGCACTATCTCCGAGCTTTGTTCCCAGTGCGTCCAATAGGGCCCACTCATTTGCCAACGTGAAAAACTCAGGTCCTGTCATATTTGACTCAAGCCATTGCTTGTACAAGTCCTGCAGTAAAACCATGTCACGATCATAGGCTATCTGATTTTGTGTTAGGGAAAGCCGTATAATTTCTTAGGTCACATACATTAAGCTTGTGTCGCAGTAGCTGAGGGCTGTTTGATGAATACGCAACCCGTTGGATACCGCTAGGAAATGACATGTTGACCGTGAAAGACACCGATGTCGATTCGCAGACTTGTTTCACGGTTTGGGCAAGAGCTTTCCACACTGTCTTCCCGCTGCTGCTTCTTTGTGCTGTAAAATTGGAAAGTTTCTTTGTTTCCACGCTATACACCAGAGAAGAAGTGTCCCATGCCGCGTCAAAGATGTTCGCCGTGATATTGTAAACATCAGGGGCATACTGAAGTTCTTCTGATTGTAATACTTGGGATGTATTGTACGTCTGGGTGTTACAGCGGAACTGTGGCGCTGTGAATCTCAACTGATATGTCGAATTCTCCCCAGTTTGTGATGGTAGGGTGAAGATTTGACCATTCACAAGCACAGCCTGTGCAATGTTGCTCAAGGTGCTCTTGGGTTGGCTGCCACACTTAGTACTGCTGTATCATCTATAACATGGTAACCCCACGTACAGATATGCCGCCAACCCTACTCGTTCTTCGAGGACAAAGGTACTCAACACGGCTAGTCCAGGGATCGAAGAGTATTCTTCTACAGACACGTTGCCACGGTTTACTGTGTTCATTACTGACATGTTACGAGCTTCAATGAACTTGTGAGGCTCGAGTGTAACACTGAGCGCACCTGGGGGGTATATCATTGCGATTTTGAGACACCAAATCAGAACAGCGATGAGGACCAATAGGGGGGCTTTCCAAATACCTCTTGGGTCGGTGAATGCAACTATGTCGCTTCGAATGACGAACAGTCGCTCTACTGCGGAAAGCGGCATCGTGTTTCGCCGAAGAAGGTACCACAGGTGTTGTGCAAAGCAGATTCCCATAGTAGCCGTCACGGAAGCTTTGAAAATGGTCGTAAGCAGTATAGAGACTGCAGACACTTGGGGCTGTGTGAGGTACGCGGCATCGACCGGTTTCCCGTTTAGATCGTGTGCGAGTAAATAATGTCCCAATGCAGAGAACAAAGCTTGTGAGTTTTAGTCATGCTGAATTCGTACTGGAAAGATACTGACCTAGGAACAGAAAACCGGCCGTTAGTGCCACAGTTTTCCAAAGCTTTGGATGTCGAGTAGGAGGCAGTTGGTTAATGGTTGGTGCAGTAATTGATTTTTCCAAATAACTCTTCGGCTTCGGATCTTCGGTTGAGCCTGATAGTCTTGAATCTTCTGAGATCTCGAGGGGATCGACCGAGATGCTTGCGGGGGTCAAGATTTCGCTCTCGCTTTGATTACAAACATTGTGAGGGTCATATGATGAGATAAGCCGTGAGGTACATGAGGCGCTGTCAACGTCATCGTGCGAAGGTTTGACATTGCCAGTCTTGGGGACGTGTGAAATTTCTTGTCCAGCCATGGAATCTCAACTACCCTGGGTTGAGAGATAATGGCGAGCGTTGTGAGAAGTCTGAGGCGGTGGTGATGTGTGGACAACGATATTGAGTTTGAAAAGAGCGAGCATGGAATTTAATTTCAAGAAGATCCTTCATGGTTGCGGTTAATATATGCAAAGTAAGCGGAACCGCGGGCTATATCAGTAACGCTTCTTAAGGACGAGGCTGTGTGCCTCGATATAGCCCCTTGTTGTGTTACTCTCCTGTCTTTGCGCATCATTGAAGGCTTCAAACGCTCGCCCCACGCTCGTTTACGACAATGAGCAAATGATACGTCGAACCCATGCTTCTTGTTAGTATTCTCCGGTTTCTGAGTGTAGTGGAGGGTATGAGAGTCGTGAATTGAGGGGCAATTATGAACAGGAAGCGACAGCCCTGCAGCTAGTCAGGCAGTAGCAAGACTAACCGAGATAGGCTCACGTCAGACTGCGCCCCCATCCTCATCCGAAGAGTGACATCATCTCAGCCCCGGTACCCCGTGGAGAATTATTTAATATACCGAATTCATTCGTCCGCAACTCAGTTCGCCCTGGTTCACATACTAACAATGTCACTAGTTGGGTCAGCGCCATCCAGGTGGAGTCAACGGGTGGGATGCATCCAGACTTCCTCTTTCCATGTACCCCTCAACTCCGCAAACATCGTACTACAAACCCTAAGCCGTCATAATATTCACGCGCCTGAACTACAGTCGTCTGCTAGCATCTTTTCTATAACCCACGATTTCACCTGAGCTTGCGATATCGATCATTCAGCGAAATTGTCTAGGTATGCGTTGCACGATGGGGTCTCTAGGTTGGCCTGCATGCACACTACCGAAGATTAATCTCGTCGAGAGAGGGGCTGCGCATACCGGATAGCCACCAGCCAGTACTACTGTTGGCTAGATATACCAGCATAGCCCCCAGTAAAACTCATGACAGAGCTTATACCTGGGTGTAAGCGAGAGCCCTTGTAGTATTCTAACATAGAAATCTCCCCTTGACTACAATGCGCACTTGCGTGCAAGGTACCCACTGCGCCATCATAGCACCTGCCATGACTTATTCGATACTCTAAGACTAAGTCGAAGTTTCACAAAGTGAAATGTCCCAACACTACAGACTTCACAGTCATCGACCACCATTATGAGTAAGCTGAAGTCGTCACTGCCAACTCCAGAGAAGAGCCAATGACAGGTGAAGCTCTAACTAACACAACACTTCCCAGCGCCATCGACGTCAGAGCAGGAGGAGCAGGAGGAGCAGGTCTCCGCGCTACCGTAGGCCTCACAGAACAAGCACTAAAAACAGCATGCATATCCAAGGTGGCACAAACGGCGCGCTCGGCAACATGTGCAAGGATAACTAGTGCTGGCACATGTACAACCAGCACCGTCAAAGCCTCCGATTGGCTCGACGACCAAAACGCCATACACTACATGACGCGCGAAGCCGTGCCTGCAGTTGACGAACTAGAAAACTACAGTATACCGTTCAGCCGAACCAGGCAAGCAACAATTTACCAACGAGCACTCAGCAGTCATGGGAGAGCAGGACAGGCATTTAGAACAGCGTGCGCGGCAGGACATGCAATATTACATACACTGTACGAGCAGAGTGTGAAAGAGAGTGTGCATTTCTTCATTGAGTGAGTGGTTCGCGCTGATGTCAGAGGGGAAGATGTGTGGGTATTACGGCGAGGGTGGGAGGTTTCATGGGGTGTTTGCTAGATCCCGGATATGTTGCTGGATATATATGTACTAGAGGTATGATGGGGTTGTGTGAGAGAAGGAAGTTGGTGTTAATGATGGTCAAGGATATGGTCGAGCGTACTTTAGTGCGACAAGTGGTTATATTAGTACTGGAGATGGTGATGCGATGGTCCCTCGCGCTGCATTGCCGCTCCGAGGTATGGAGTGGAAATGGTGTGGGTGGTGTTATGTCTTTGTTCATTATATCGTTATCTGTTGTTCGTGTCATGTCGTATCATATCCTCTTTTCTCTCCTCCTTTCCTCTCGTCCCCTTCTCCCTCCCCTCCCATCCACACCCCACACCCTAGAACAGCCAAAACCTCTTCACCCCCTTGACATCCCTACTCCTCTCCACCTCCACCTCCACAGTCCTCTCATCCAACTTGCCTATATTACCCGCTCCACCTTTCTTCCCCGGCGAGGCCGTCGAGCCCGTAGACCCAGCGCTACAAGGTCTAGACACAGACACTGGATAGCAAGACACCCTAGTATTACTCAAGCCATGCCTTGGTTCGGAGGGGGTTAGGAGTTTTGTGCAGGGGTTTGTTGGTGCGTGTTTAGAAGTGAGGTTAGAAAGGGTTGAGATGGAGGTAGTGGAGTGGTTGCTTGATGTTGAGGGGTTGCGGTGGAGGGATGATGCTGATGTTGAGGTTGAGGCTGAAGATGACTTTGGGGAGTGGTGCTGTGATGCTGACGCTGACGCTGATGAAGATGAGCAGGAGGAAGTCGAACAACGACTAGAAGACGATGATTGAGTCGACATAGTGTGATGAGATCGGTTGTCCGTCGGTTGCTTGGACAATACGTGTTTGACTTACTGATTGCTTTTCAAGCCGTGATCTGAGAGCGGCCCAGACTGGTTGAGTAACTTGTTGTTTGCTTGCTCTCGCGGATAAGTTGCGGTGAACTTGGGAACATTTTGACACGCGTCGGTTTTGGTATTGCTGTATTTTGAGTGAATAGTGTTGAACTGGGAACTGGATGCATTAGCTCGACCTAGATGATTAGTGAATCGTGTCAAAACGTACAAGTGTGAAAACACCATGCGCATTGTGCTTGAAAAACGTCAAATTCGATTAATTACCACATCCCCGTACGCGTACAGTGTTTGAAAATGGTATCTGAAGGAAAGTTCGACACTAATCCCAAGGCTGTTGTGCCAATGCACAAACGCCCGTAGTTATGCATTCCATGCATCACTTTCGTAAACCGTATTATCATATACATTCATGTCGTCCATCCATGTCGTCCATCCATGCTTTCGACTATCCCAAACTCCGAATAAACTTCCCAAATCTTGCGACATCCGATCGTCATCTCCCGTCATCCCCGTCATCCCCGTCATCCCCGTCATCCCCGTCATCTCACCGCTGCATGTACATGCCAGTAGTCACCATGACGTTCCCATAACGCTCGTTGGCGCGCCAGAGATACTTGAGAAAGACGATTGCTTTCAAATAGACTCTCATGATGCGCCTTCTCCGAGCACGGTCGGCTTCGAGAATCCTGCGCAACGCCTTGGAGACTGCAAACGGCGAGGCGACTCTCCGGGAAGGCGATTGAATGATGGCAGGCCATGAAGTTGCGCGCGTGAGAGTAGGTGGGCTCATACTCGACGTCTCGGGTAGAAAGGCTTCGGGTGTTTCTGGAGCATCGTTGAGAGAGGCAGAGCCGAATTGCGCGTCCAGAGAATCGTATTCGAAGACTTCTGGAATGCTTCCCAGTGTTGGCGAAAACGTTGCAGAGCGCGGAGTGCCGGGATGGTGAGACATGTCGGTGGTTGAAGGAGTTGTCGGCTTTGTCGACTTTGGCGGTGACTGTTTGGCTCGTTTGGGCGGCGAGGGTCGACAAGGTTTCCTTTTGGGAGTACGGGGTGAGAGAGGAATGGAAGCAGGGGTCTGTGTGGACCACAACAGTAGTGGTAGCGAGAGGCGGGCGGAGAGGAAGCTGGTTTGCTTGCCCGGCCCACGAGGCAGCAGTGAATCGCATCTTGGGGACGAAAACACGAGCATGGTGAACAGGTGTGACTTGGGAGAGGGTTTGGGCGACGGGGCAGAGTCAGGTAGCAATTCAAGAAAACAAAAGAAAGCCGGTCGCGGCTGGCAGCCGTAATATGGCCTGGGCGGACGCAGGAATTAGTCGGGTATGTAAACAATCAGCCCCGCCCTCGCACGCGGATATACACTAGGGTCTGGGGCCCAGCGATCTGATCATACTGATGACGGTGCGTGTGTGGACCGACACGTTTGTTGCTGAGACAATGCGCTTGTCAAGCCGCGCTTTGTTGTCACACGAGCTGCTAACGAGCACACGCTTAGAGAGACGGTTGATCGAGTCTGGCACGAGGGCAGAAGAGTGCAAAATTCCCCCCTCTGGATTTGTGCGGTTCCAGACGGGCCATGACGTCGCCATGGGGAAAAGGTTTGGGATCGCGAGATCGAGAACTCGCAACGACCGGAGTAGCAGCCGCCAACGGTACTAGCGTCTTGTCCAATCACATGTCGGATCCTGCCCGTCTCTTCACACCACCTTTTTTGCCATCACCACATGGCTGGGAATGATACGCCGGCGTCGCGCAACCGCCCAAAGCAGCGCATTGCAGGCTGAAGTGCGGATAATATCAAGGCACGTCACCCCCGGCAGTGCGTTGTCCGGACGTTCCGCGGCACTCTGCCCATTCAGCGTCCTATCGCGACATGTACGAGTTGTATGGGTTTCACCTAGACACACAGGCACGAATCGGGTCTAAGGCAATTGTCGTTCGCTGATGTGATGTTAGTGCTGATTGTTGCTGAGTGTGATGTAGGTACGCCCTTACGCGGCCACTGAACCGTTTGCCTGGAATGCGGAGCTATCCACGTGACATGGCCGATGGACTCTCACTACATCCTGCGTTTATACACTTTCAACTACCAGTCGTGCCTAGTCTTCTGTTACTACTCCGTTACCAGCAACACAACAACATGACGTACACTAGAAAGCAGGTCATCACATGCATCAGCGTGCTAGTAAGACATGACCCCACCACGCCTGTTTAACGTGCAAAGCCAACCGTGTCTAGTATCTCGTCATAGCGACGGCGCTCGCAGGGTACTCGCCCGCTTTCGGCAGCAATGCTAGCCTTGCGCTAATAAGACCAGATACGCTGCATCCCGCGCGAACGCCCGCTCTGTGCCCATCTCTGACATCCTGACCGGCTTCACCACGGCTCTACCTATTGTCTCCGGCCTGTTGCTAGAATGTGGCTATGACTTCACACGTCGTCAGGAGCGTGGCCAGCGCCTGAACCGGGGCGAGATTCAGCGCCCGCCGCTCGTCATCATCGCCAATACACTCATCTTCATCTACTCGACCGTCGTCGTCACCCTGGTCGGCACCCATGTCGCCCCGTCGTCTGGCCTAGACTGTGGCTTGCGGGAGCGCTGGCAGACGCTTTTTAGAACAAAGGACGCGCCTGCTATCCGCCAGATTCAAGATGCTTTCAACTGCTGTGGTCTCGCCAACTCACGAGACATGGCATGGCCGTTTCCTGACAAGACGCATGATCAGCACGCATGTGAAAATACATATAGCGGCAGGACCAGTGGATGCTTGGGAGCGTGGAAGGCCGAAGAGCAGCGGGTTGGAGGTCTCCTCATTGGCGTTGTGAGCATGGTGTTTGTGTGGCAGGTATGTGATGTAAGAACCCCGCCTTGGCTAAACCTAACACATTTGTAGATTTTGATAATCGTTGTGCCGACGCAGAAGGAGTCATGGCTCCATCGCATTGCCCCAGAACGGCTATCTCGCATGCTCGCCGATGAGAGACACGGCGATACCGAACCTCGCCGTGCCATCGGTTTCGTCCCTAGCCACAACCGATATTCCGACCGCTTCGAAGAGGAAGTTGAAGAGGAAGAGGAGGAGAGAAGTCCAGAGCGTGCGATTGAGGAGGGCAACCGTCGTCTCGATAGCGCTTTGCCTGGACATCTCGCACGCGACAACCAACCAAGCATCGAGAACGAGTGGGCTAGAGGCTAAGCGGGTGGGGGTGAAGGGCCGATACAAGTCCACACGATTCGTCGGGGAAGCGGCGGTGCCTGAATGATCCATACATAACAACGGGTACTCCCGTGGACGGTTATACATTTTCAACGTCGCAGGTCGCACCTGGGTGACATGAAATACTTGACAGCGTGGGTAAGTAGTGTCTGGCGCATACAGTCATCCCTATACACTAGTATGTCAACTATTTCATGTCACCCGCGTGGTCGCCCCCAACGGCTTTTTGATTTAGCATCGAGACAGGAAATGAGGGTTTACAAATCAGAACATATCGGAAATTACCGTGCAAGACAACTTTTACTTGCGATTTTAACACTCCAGTGCTGAATGAAAATCGACGTGTATGCACAAGACACAGACTGCTGTCTCGTGTCGATCCCACAGTGATAAACATGGCAGTCTCAGTACCCTGCACAAGACAACATTGTGTAAAAAGCCCGTCTAAGCGAAGTGTTCCTCGTTGATGTATACTCAAGTCACTCTTTCACAATGTATATACAGTTTACCCCTTGTGTCGTCGTCGTCGTCGTCGTTGTCTTAGCAGTTTATTTTAAAGCCTTGGCTTTGGATAAACGGGTTTTAACGAGTATGAAATTCTTGTGGTAAGTTGATAATTGTATGTAGACTTTTGTGTATGTTTGCGGTGAAGTCTTCTTCTTACTTCATTATGATTAACAACAGTTCTCACACATTAACAAATAACACACACCCACACATCATATATCTTACACATTAACTAACCCTACAATAAAACTAAACTATGCCTTCCACGCCCACCACCACTAACTTTAGCACCGCCGTATTCCACCCACCCTAACGCATCCCCACAAACACCTTCGAAACCTTCGTTCCAAGTGACAAACTAACGACCATGAAGAAGGGGGATGAGAAGAAGAGGAAGGGGTTGAAGAGTAAGGTTGTGGAGGGGATTTTGAAGGGTAAGGGTAGTAAGGGGGAGGGGGAGGGCAAGTAAGTGGAGAGGGGTTTTTAAGGGGGGAAAGGGGAGGAGAGGGGGAGGGAGAGGAGGGAGAGGGGAGAGAGGTTTATACTTTTGCATGTTGTGTTTAGTTAAGTTTTTCTTAAAATTCAAGGGTGTCAGTCGTAGTAGGGTTTTCTGGTGAAGAGTAAGTAGAGTGGGAGGGTGTAGTAGTTAGTATAACACAACTATGGATTCTTGTATATTATACTAAGTTGAATGCAACATGTTTGGGTGAAAGTAAAAAATATGAAAGTATGCTCAAGCCGACTTTAACTAGCAATATCCGGCTGAGTACCATATACCCAGAGTCCGTACACAAGTCTGTCACGGGATCATATGACATCAAAGTAACTTTTCTTAGATTTATTATTTGTGATGTTTGCACTTGTCATATTGTTTATAGTACTTTAACAAGAGCTCTACTAACATGGTTGGCAAGCGAGCGGCGCACCCAAAAACACACCAAAAAGCGGAGTTTTGGCAACTGAATATCTCAACAACCACCAAATAGATTTTTCTTAAAATCTTACTGTGAAGCTGCACACACATAAGCATGTAGATTACATAGTTATAGGACTACAGCTAACTTAGTTGTAGAGTTGTCAAGCAAAAACGAAAAATTTCCACTTTTTTAGCCCCCAAATTCTATATCTCTACATCTAGAGTAGCTAGGGCCCTATAATCATAGAATCTTATAGAGTTGTAATCCTAGAGTTCTAGTAAAACCTTTAAGAAAGATCTATTTGGTGGTTGTTGAGATATTCAGTTCCCAAAACTTCGCTTTTTGGTGTGTTTTTGGGTGCGCCGCTCGCTTGCCAACCATGTTAAGCTCTTTTACACTTTTACCTTACCTCTTTTATAGTAGTGATGTCATGTTTCTGAATTCTGTGCGTAAAGTTCTCTGGCGGAGAAAAATTATGCACCCATCAGTATATAGACTTGATGTTCTGCGAGTGGAATGTATGATCGGGGTATTTGGCTGCCCGGCCGCCCTCATCCTTATTCTGTACCGCACCACGTGAATGTGCGACTTGAACGAATAGAGGACACGTGAGTTTTACTTGGCGCGGTGACAGTGCCCTATTCTAGTTAGATACACGGAGACTAGTCGTGCCATCCTTGACCTCCAGCTAAAAGCGTACTTATCGGCACCCTGGGAGTCCGATAGTAGGATTCTAGGCAGCTCAGCCTCCTCGATACAATTTTGCATAAGTAATGGATGAGCCAGGCATAAGATTTTACATCAGCTACCAAGCTTTCTATTGTTTCTTTTGTTGTCGAGATCGATTAGCTATATATCCAACCGCTTTTCCGGGCATGCATCATCCTGCCTTGTCTCTTCATAACGTTTTGCGCGCTCCTCGTCACTGCCCGCGCTACCCCAATGCATACTAGCCCACGCGTCCTTGGACAAGATTCCCCCACGGACGCCAAGACAGCAAAACCACCCATATCCACCGAAGCTGTCATCAGCCTCGTAGGTGTCATGGTAGCCTTTTTAGGCATAGCGCTCCCACTAGTGTGGATGAAATGGAGGAGACGGTTTGGCGGGGCACGCCGTACCCCATCCACTGAAAACGGTGCGGCTCTACAACCACTCCTTGACTTTCACGTGGAATCTGACAAGGAGAGATACAGTGCACTCCGAAACCACTTCTCAATACGCTATGGACGACCTGACGCCTTTACAACATGGAACGACACAGGATTGGTCACCCGTTCATGATTCTCCGCGACGAACAATAGGGCATGGGGGTTTTTATCGTTATGAGCGCGTGGTTGTACACGGTTGGCAGTTTGAGGATGGGAGGAGGTGATTGGGATGGAGGCTGAAGGATTTGCTTTGTGTACGGCGCGGTGGGGATCTTCAACACATAGACATGGACTTGTTGCATTAGTACGCTGATTGTATCTTACGGTTACAATATTACTATGGATTTTACCAAGTGAGGGGAGTATAGACTTCAGAAACAGTGCAAGGCTTATGCGTGGAAGATTCGAAAGGTTTACGTTGGGAGAGAAACATCATCTCGATACGTTTCGGTGAGGCTTTCCTAATCCTCGGTATTGAAACTGTCACATTGACTTCAGCCCCAACTGATCTAGCGTCAAAACATACGTCTCGATAGGGCTCTCCTAATCCTCCCTATTGCAACTGCCACACCTAGTCCAGCCCTAACCGATCTTAGACTCACCTGAGTGTCATAAAATACCTGACAGTGTGAGCACCCAATAGACGTGTCTGGCGACAACAGTGGTATTTTTACACTGGTATGTCAAGTATTTCATGACACCTAGGTGGAGTCGAAGCATGCATGCTATTCGCTCTCTACCGAAGTCGGTCCTCTTAAATCCTTGTTCACAGCCTAAAGCGGGGTAATCATACAATACATACTGACGAAGGCTTTTATGGCTTCGTAGTCGCGTGTTAGAGAGGGATAATCATCTGCGGCCTGTGGATCTTGCTGTGTGATTTGGAGTACACAGGGATCTTGGCGGTACCGGTAAGACGAAAGTGAGCTTAGTGCCCGCTGAAGCGGGATGATTGGTTGATCATGCATATCGGGTTGTATCGGCCGGATCGGCCATATGTACAGGAGGTTGTGGAGGCATGTGATTGGGCATGACATTATCGGATTGGGAAAGTACAGCTGTTGATCCTTTCGCTCTACCCTACACTGCGCCCCTAGTGAAGCGCATTCGGGGCATCGGCAGCAAATATTGTAGAGCCCTCACATTATAAGTTCTACCTCTATGCGCGCACTTCTCCAATAGATCAGTGAATATTTCACACAACAAGCACCAAACTATTGACTCGCCAACTACCTACGACTATCGCTAGCCATGAACTTTCGTTTATTTCTCTCGCTTCTTCTTTCATGCACACATCCGACACTCGGCCTACCTAAACCCGATCCAACATCCAACGACACAAACACCAAGGCCTGGTCGAAAGAAGCCATTCTGACTCTGATTGGGGTCCTTACAGCGTTGATATGCTTCATCGTTGGTCTAGCTTGGCCTCGGATACGCAACTTAATCCGCGATACTATGGTTTCTATGGCCAGATTACTCGGTTAGTGTGCCGTACTTGGAATCATGATCCTAGCTTACCATCTACCAGACTTTCGGTCCAACAACAATCGGACGCGCTTGCGGAACTTCGAGGACGAGCTGCGGCGATACCACGAGTGGCTTGAGTTTAATGCATGGCGGGAAACGAGGTCTGCGAGCACTTAGGCGTGTGTGAGTAATGCGCAATCGAAATCTGTGGTAAAAACCTGAAAATAGGCTGGTGCCTGACGAAGAATCGGGGGAGTAGATGATAGGGTTTTTTTCTATACACATGTAACTTTATACTGGATTTACTACGGATTTCTGCTGCATCGCAGGTATTCTCAATGTGGTACATCAGATTCGGGCCCAACCAAACCTATGATGTCCATTTACTGTTCAGCCTGATACAGCAGTCAACAGCTAAGCACTCGCAAGATCTCCGGAGTACCGAGGCAGAGACAGGGGTGTCTGTAACTGCTAATAGAGGCTAGCGTTGTCAAATGAGGTCATGGGCCTCATGGCCGCTACCTAGGTGAGATCAAAGGGACAAGGTACGGAGAGGTGGGCTGTGGCTGAGTCCAATACGCAGCATGACAGCAGCAAGATTGCTGACCATTACCACAGCGTAGCCCGAAGCGAATCTGTGCCTGCTCTAAAGAAATTATGATGTTCGCGCCTCGCTACGAAGCTTATCCTCACATGTCCTCTACACCAGCGCCCCGCATTTTGGGGTTGAATGTTCAGGTCCCTGTTTGACCGTTTCGCAATATTTCGCATCTCTTACAAAACTGGGTCACAGCAACGTACGACAGGCAAAGGGCCATGTGTTTGAGCAAGAGTTGGTTGTATATACTGTATGACTAGACGATCAACACTAACTATCTCTACCAGCATTCGGGCACAAATCAAAGGCTGCGTGAACGTATATCGTATGTTCTCAAGAATTACATTAACTCTTCAGTTTAGTGCCATCCCTGTACTGCGGAGGATTACCAGGTTTCGTCTGCAGTACGCCTGCATGGCGCTCCAAGTGTTAAGTCCCACAATTTGCGTCGCTATGGCTGGTTATCCAGAGATGCTGCATACGTACCAAGCCGACAGATGCCAAGTGCATCGCCATCCCTACGGCATATATTTCACTTTGTTGATCCCTATGCAGTTTTTCATACAATTCGAAGCCCGTTCTCTTTTTTCTCGCCAAATTCCACCCTCCACCTCTCCATCCTTATCTATTTTATTCATTAGGGCCACCCTTATCAAGATGTCTAACAAGATAAACGCCCAATGGTCTACCGAAGCCATTCTCGCATTTATCGGCATTGTTATTACAATCATCACCGCCATAATCACGTTGAACTCTTCTCCAAACGCACGCAACTGGACCTTTTACCCTTTCCGATGTAAGCCAGTCTCCGTCTTCCTATCTTCACACGTGACCAACATCATCGCGTCTAGCCTGCATGCAATACATAAGACGCAGAAGAATCCACCGCAATGAACAACTAAGACGGCAACTTCAAGAGCGCTATGATGATTACCGGCGGTTCACGGAGTTTCTAGAGATGTTTGGAGGGGTGGAGATGGCAACGTCTTTAAATGGACTACAACTTCTTCCATTGGAACGGCAAGGAGAC